ATATAATCATGTATCTCTCCCTCCTGCGTTCCAGGGAATACAGGTTTAGGAACCTCAAGCGCTCCCAGTAATTGAGGTGTTTTATATCTCCGTTATGCGCGCCGTGAAAGTTCTCTGTACATTTTCTAGGTCGGCAATTTCACCTGCCTTGAAAGGTGCTGTTAGTGTGCAGCAATATTCCAGCCTAGATAGAACAAGTGACCTGAAGAGTGTCATCATGGGCTTGGCCTCCCTAGTTTTGAAGGTTCTCATTATCCATCCTGTCATTTTTCTAGCAGATGCGATTGATACAATGTTATGGTCCTTGAAGGTGAGATCCTCCGACATGATCACTCCCAGGTCTTTGACGTTGGTGTTTTCGCTCTATTTTGTGGCCAGAATTTGTTTTGTACTCTGATGAAGATTTAATTTCCTCATGTTTACCATATCTGAGTAATTGAAATTTCTCATCGTTGAACTTCATATTGTTTTCTGCAGCCCACTGAAAGATTTGGTTGATGTCTGCCTGGAGCTTTGCAGTGTCTGCAATGGAAGACACTGTCATGCAGATTCGGGTGTCATCTGCAAAGGAAGACACGGTGCTGTGGCTGACATCCTTGTCTATGTCGGATATAAGGATGAGGAACAAGATGGGAGCGAGTACTGTGCCTTGTGGAACAGAGCTTTTCACCGTAGCTGCCTCGGACTTTACTCTGTTGACGACTACTCTCTGTGTTCTGTTAGTGAGGAAATTATAGATCCATCGACCGACTTTTCCTGTTATTCCTTTAGCACGCATTTTGTGCGCTATTACGCCATGGTCACACTTGTCGAAGGCTTTTGCAAAGTCTGTATATATTACATCTGCATTCTTTTTGTCTTCTAGTGCATTTAGGACCTTGTCGTAGTGGTCCAATAGTTGAGACAGACAGGAGCGACCTGTTCTAAACCCATGTTGCCCTGGGTTGTGTAACTGATGGGTTTCTAGATGCGTGGTGATCTTGCTTCTTAGGACCCTTTCAAAGATTTTTTATGATATGGGATGTTAGTGCTATTGGTCTGTAGTTCTTTGCTGTTGCTTTACTGCCCCCTTTGTGGAGTGGGGCTATGTCTGTTGTTTTTAGTAACTGAGGGACGACCCCCGTGTCCATGCTCCCTCTCCATAGGATGGAAAAGGCTCGTGATAGGGGCTTCTTGCAGTTCTTGATGAACACAGAGTTCCATGAGTCTGGCCCTGGGCAGAGTGCATGGGCATGTCATTTATCGCCTGTTCGAAGTCATTTGGCGTCAGGATAACATCGGATAGGCTTGTGTTAATCAAATTTTGTGGCTCTCTCATAAAAAATTCATTTTGATCTTCGACTCTCAGTCTGGTTAGGGGCTTGCTAAAAACTGAGTCATATTGGGACTTGAGTAGCTCACTCATTTCCTTGCTGTCATCTGTGTAGGACCCATCTTGTTTAAGTAGGGGCCCAATACTGGACGTTGTTCTCGATTTTGATTTGGCATAGGAGAAGAAATACTTTGGGTTTCTTTCGATTTCATTTATGGCTTTTAGTTCTTCCCGCGATTCCTGACTCCTAAAGGATTCTTTTAGCTTAAGTTCGATGCTTGCTATTTCTCTGACCAGTGTCTCTCTACGCATTTCAGATATATTGACCTCTTTTAGCCGCTCTGTTATTCTTTTCCGTCGCCTGTAAAGGGAGCGCCTGTCTCTTTCTGTTTTACATATACTCCTCCTTTTTCTTAGAGGAATAAGCCTTGTGCATACATCGAGTGCCACCGAGTTAATCTGTTCTAGGCATAAGTTGGGGTCTGTGTTGCACACTAATACGTTAGTTATCATTCTGCTTCATCGCCTGCAACGGCTCAGTCAGCTTAATCACTGACTCATTCGATTACAGTACATACTATGTCTCGGTGGAGAGGAGCAAGGTCGATTCAAGTGTCGCTTCGACAGTGTCGTGCTATGATGGAGCAGACTGCCCCAAGGACTAGGAAGTTCGCTGCAAAGTCTCGGGCATTTCTTACTGTGGACTGAAAATTGTGATAACTGTTTATTTATTTATTTATTTATTTATTTATTTAAAAATTTGTGCACACATACAGAGGTACAAAAAATACAGAAAAGAGCAGTATGCCAAAGCCACTTATACTATGCATAGCATTACGGGCTGGCTTAAAATTAACTTAAGATGAACTAAGCAATGATGACATCGGTGATAAAACTTTAATGTAAACAGATTACTATAAAGCACAAGTGAGTATTACAAAGACAGGTCATATGGTTGTATGCATTGTTATACATTCAGTAGAATGGAGTATTTTGTTAGGTAGTGTATTTAAAAAATAATAAAGTTAGATTGGGTTTTAGGTTTAACATTTATGTGATATAATTGTGAGAAATATTTAAGATATACAATTTATAAGGTTCAGTTATTCAGTATTTTTTTGGGTTTTTGGGGTGAGTAAGTGATCTTTGAGAAGAGACTTGAATTTATAAACAGGTAGTGTTTCTTTATATTTACAGGTAATGAGTTCCAGATTTTAGGGCCTTTTATGTGCATTGAGTTTTTGCATAGTGTGAGATGGACACGAGGAACATCAAAGAGTGATCTGTGCCTTGTGTTATGGTCATGTGTTCTGTTGAGGTTGGCAAGGAGATGTTTGAGGGGAGGGTTAATATCAGAGTTAAGTGTTCTATGTATGTAATAGGTGCAGTAATAAGTATGAATGTTTTGTATGGTGAATAGGTTTAGTGTATTGAATATTGGTGGAGTGTGCTGCCTATAGTGAGAATTTGTTATCATTCTAACTGCAGCCTTTTGTTGGGTAATTAGTGGTCTGAGATGGTTACTTGTTGTTGAGCCCCATGCACAAATTCCATAGGTGAGATAGGGGTAAATAAGAGAGTGATATTATCCCAGTGATTGCAGAATATGCTTCATATGTACTGACGAAGGACTGCCCAACCCAGACTATCACTTCACGTGTAATTATGGAGAGCGATTTGATTAGCAAGTTAGTTTAGGCAGGCCAAATGTACCCTGTACTAAATTGCGCTCGGAAAGTTCAAGGATTGTAAGCAGTGGTCCGACGACTACTGCAATCTCGAGTGCAACTGTTGCTGATTACTGCAACATGCTTCTTTGTTGCAGTAACAGCTACTTCCCCACACTAGATATATATGAAGATTTTAATTAAACATTTTAATGATTAATGAAATTATTTGTATTAAGAAAAGAAATTCTTACATATTAGTCAAATGTTTTTCTTTCAGGAATACTGAAGATTAAAACATCAACTGAGGTTATTGTAAATTTCAATAATCCAGTCAAGTTTACATTGACTTTTTTAAGTTGTTATGGATAGCTTAAGATTACATTGACTTAGACGGATTAACAGCAAAGGTAAATACAGTGTTTGTGAACTTTACCAAATAAATGTGAAACACTTATATCTTATTTTAATTACAATAAACGTGTATATAAAAATGTTTTTATTTCACTTACGATGTATACACTGACTCCCCCTTCCTCATACCAAGGTTCACATACCAACGTTCACATACCAACGTTCACATACCAACGTTCACATACCAACGTTCACATACCAACGTTCACATACCAACGTTCACATACCAACGTTCACATACCAACGTTCACATACCAACGTTCACATACCAACGTTCACATACCAACGTTCACATACCAAGGTTCGCATACCAACGTTCGCATACCAAGGTTCACATACCAACGTTCACATACCAACGTTCACATACTAACGTTCACATACCAACGTTCACATACCAACGTTCACATACCAACGTTCACATACCAACGTTCACATACCAACGTTCACATACCAACGTTCACATACCAACGTTCACATACCATCGTTCACATACCAATGTTCACATACCAACGTTCACATACCAACGTTCACATACCAAGGTTCTCATACCAACGTTCACATACCAACGTTCACATACCAACGTTCACATACCAACGTTCACATACCAACGTTCACATGCCAACGTTCACATACCAACGTTCACATACCAACATTCACATACCAACGTTCACATACCAACGTTCACATACCAAGGTTCGCATACCAACGTTCACATACCAAGGTTCACATACCAACGTTCACATACCAACGTTCACATACCAACGTTCACATACCAACGTTCCACATACCAACGTTCACATACCAACGTTCACATACCAACGTTCACATACCAACGTTCACATACCAACGTTCACATACCAACGTTCACATACCAACGTTCACATACCAACGTTCACATACCAACGTTCACATACCAACGTTTCACATACCAAACGTTCACATACCAACGTTCACATACCAACGTTCACATACCAAGGTTCGCATACCAACGTTCGCATACCAACGTTCACATACCAACGTTCACATACCAACGTTCACATACCAACGTTCACATACCAACGTTCACATACCAACGTTCACATACCAACGTTCACATACCAACGTTCACATACCAACGTTCACATACCAACGTTCACATACCAACGTTCTCATACCAACGTTCACATACCAACGTTCACATACCAACGTTCACATACCAACGTTCACATACCAACGTTCACATACCAACGTTCGCATACCAAGGTTCGCATACCAACGTTCACATACCAACGTTCACATACCAACGTTCACATACCAACGTTCACATACCAACGTTCACATACCAACGTTCACATACCAACGTTCACATACCAACGTTCACATACCAACGTTTTACATACCAACGTTCACATACCAACGTTCACATACCAACGTTCACATACCAACGTTCACATACCAACGTTCACATACCAACGTTCACATACCAACGTTCACATACCAACGTTCACATACCAACGTTCACATACCCATGTTGAGTATTTCTCATAAGCCAGGTAGGGCTTTTTCATGCACTCTCTGTTGTATTAGAGGACACTGATGGAAGAAACAAGAGGGGAAAAACATTAAAGTTATGTTCGAATTCTTTATTTACTATAGGCCATGTATTACTCAGTTTAGGTTAATGTTTTTAATATCACGTTTGTGTTAGTTACCATTTTGTCCAAGGCACTTGTTACTAAGACACTTGGCCTGTTTGTGTGTGTGTGTGTGTGTGTGTGTGTGTGTGTGTGTGTGTGTGTGTGTGTGTGTATGCACATGGTAAATTTCAATATAATCATAGTAGAACCATTAATTTATTCTGAATACAAGACTTGCAATATTGACATCTGGTGTTGATGGGTGGAAAGTAAGGGTGATAGATTCAAGACAGTGGTAAGGTGGGTTCATATCAGTGGGTGGTGGGTCAGAACAGTGACTTGTGGGGACAGTCAGAGGGAGAGACACAGTAAGGGTAGTCGGGGCCAGGATTGAAGACCAAGGTTCCTGTACAGCTCTGTACGACCGCTTCTTCACCTGCTTGTACACAGTGGAAGTACTGCTGCTGACAGTAGGAGCACTTAGCGAAGTAGCCGACGGAGGAGCATGTCATCGAGTCTACACAGCCAGAAGAAGGCGTGGTAGTACCTTCCCCGGGGATCGTGCTGCCTGCACACAGAGTGTTACACGTGGCGCCGGGCACACACTTACCCACAGTCACGTCAAAGTTGGACCCTTGAGGACAAGTGAAATGTTGTGTTTGATCGGCAGGTCCAACCACAGTACAACTGTAGTAGTTATTGCAGTCGGTGGGGTCTGTGATGTTTGATGTCGTGTCTTGGCAGTACGGATAACACTGGTCGCTGCAGCACTTTTCATCGGTTTCGACGCACTCCGTCCCGTCATAGTAAGGTTTTTCCGCGGGGCACACCCCAGGTGACCCCACGACGTTGCCGCTCGAGCATAGGTAATAAATGCTGCAGTTCATCAGGTCAACGATCGTGTCTGAGAATAGATCTGGGTCGCAAGTTGAGTGGCAGCCTGTTGGTTTGCAACTATTTTCACAAGGATCGGTTTCCTCGGTGCATCCAGTCGCTGTGTCCTTGAAATATTGTCCATCAGGACATGACAAGGAAATGGGTGGTTGGTCTTCACCAAAACAGACATAAAACTTATGACAGTTTTTAGGATCCGCTACATTAGTCCCTACCGCAGCGCTACTGCAGTCTGGCTCACAAACGTCCGCAGTGAGCGCCGCAGCGGCACCCAACAGCGCTGCTACACACCACACCTGTGAAAAGAAACACTTTTAACACCTGTTCTGACACACACACACACGCAGATCTACCAGGAGTCTACCTAGAGGGTATTCCGGGGATCAATGCCCCCGCGGCCCTGTCCATGACCAGGCATCCCGGTGGATCAAGACCTGGTCAACTACGCTGTCGCTGCTGGCTTCACGTAGTCCAACATACGAACCACAGCCCGGCTGATCCGGTACTGACTTTAGGTATCTGTCCAGCTCCCTCTTGAAGACAGCCAGGGGTATATTGGTAATTCCCTCATGACTGGTAGGAGGCTGTTGAACGGTCTTGGGCCCCGGACACTTATTATGTTTTCTCTTAGTGTACTAATGGCGTCCCAACTTTTCACTGGGGGGATGTTGCATGTCCTGCCAAGTCTTTCACCTTCGAAGGGAGTGATTTGTGTGTGCTGATTAGGGACCAGTCCCTCCAGGATCTTCCAGGTGTAGATTATGATGTATCTCTCTCGCTTGCGCTCCAGTGAGTACAAGTCAAGTGCTTCCAAGCGTTCCCAGTAGTTAAGGTACTTGATGGAACTTACATGTGCAGTAAAGGTTCTCCGTACATTCTGCAGATCTGAGATTTCAGCTGCCTTGAATGGAGATGTTAATGTACAACAGTCTTCCAGCCTAGAGAGAACAAGTGATTTAAAAAGATCCGATCATCACTGGCTTGGCATCTCTTGTTTTAAATGTTATCATTATCCATCCTATCAGTTTTCTAACAGATGTGATAGTGGCATTGTTGTGGTCCTTGAAAGTGACATCCCCTCAGACATTACCACTCCCAGGTCCTTCATATTATTTTTCCACTCTATTGTGTGATTAGAGTTTGTAGTATACTTAGTTCGAGCTATCATTTCCTCTAGTTTTCCATAACGTAGTTGTTGGAATTTGTCTTCATTGAACATCATATTGTTCTCCGCTGCACATTGGAAAACTTGGTTTATATCTTCTTGGAGATTTACCGTGTCCTCAGTGGATGACAGTCTCATGCAGATCCTAGTATCGTCTGCAAAGGATTATACAATGCTATGGTTTATATCTCTGTCTATGTCTGATATGAGGATGAGGAACAGGATAGGGGCGAATACTGAGCCTCGTGGAGCAGAGCTCTTCACTATGACAGCTTCAGATTTAATTCTGTTAACTACTACTCTTTGTGTTTGATTGGTTAGAAAGTTGAAGATCCATCTGCCCACTTTGCCAGTTATCCCTTTAGAGCGGATTTTGTGTGCTATTACACCATGATCGCACTTGTTAAAGCCTTTTGCAAAATCTGAGTATACTACATCTGCATTCTGTTTGTTTTCAAGTGCATTCAAGACCATATTATAGTGGTCCAGTAGTTGGGAGAGGCAAGAACGACCTGCTCTGAACCAATGTTGCCCTGGATTGTGCAGTTGTTGGGAGTCCAAGTGGTTTGCAATCCTGCTTCTTAGAATTCTTTCAAAGATTTTTATGATGTGGGACGTTAGAGCTATTGGTCTATAGTTCTTAGATATTGCTTTGCTGCCACCTTTATGGAGTGGGGCTATATCCGTTGTTTTTAGTGACTGTGGAATCTCACTTGTGTTTATGCTCCTTTTCTATAGCCTACTTAGAGCCTGCGAGAAGGGTTTCTTGCAGTGTCGCTGACATGTTTAGTATGTAAAGCTATGGAGAAGATTATCAGAAGAGTGGTGGAGCACCTAGAAAGGAACAGGCTCATACATGACAACCAGAAAGGCTTCAGGGAAGGAAAATCCTTCTTCACATACCTGGAAATATAAACACATATGCAGTATAATGTGATCCTTTATTGACTACGTTTCGCCCACACAGTGGACTTTTTCAAGTCACAAACAAGCCCACTGTGTGGGCGAAACGTAGTCAATAAAGGATCACATTATACTGCATATGTGTTTATATTTCCATTGTGTCGGTATTTTATACCATTTATTTCCTTCACATACCTACTGGAGTTCTACGATAAATTAACAGAAGTAAGACAGGGGAGAGAGAGGTGGGTTGACTGCATCTTCTTGGACTGCATGAAGGTTTTCGGTACAGTACCACACAAGAGAATTGTTGAAAAGCTAGAGGAGCAGGCAGGAATAGCAAGGAAAGTACTGCAATGGATCAGAGAATACCTGACAGGAAGGAAACAACGTGTGTTGGTACGTGACAAGATGTCAGAGTGGGTGCATGTGTCGAGTGGGGTTCCACAAGGGTCAGTCCTAGGTCCGGTGCTGTTTCTAGTATATGTGAATGACATGAGAGAATGGATAGATTCAGAGTTGTCCCTGTTTACAGACGATGTGAAGAATGCAAGTGGACGAGGATCAATTGAGGCTACAAGATGATTTGGACAGGCTGCAAACCTAGTCGGAAAAACGGCTTCTGGAGTTTAATCCCAGCAAGTGGGGAAGGACAAAGAAGACCACAGACGGAGTACAGCCTAGGAAGTCAAAGGCTTTAAAACTCCAGGGAAAATGATCTGGGGGAGGGCATTATACCGAGCACATCTCCTGAGGCGCACATCAACTAAATAACTGCTGCAGCATATGGGCGCCTGGCAAATCTAATAACACTATTTCGACATGTACGTAAGGTTATTCGATACAACACTGTGTACGTCAGGCACATATTGGAGTGTGCAGCACCAATATGGAACCCACACCTGGTCAAATACATCAAGAAATTAGAAAAAACGCAAAAGTTTTTAACAAGACTAGTGCCAGAGCTAAGGGGTAGACCTTACGAGGAGAGTGAAGACACTGGAGGACAGGAGGGATTGAGAGGACATATAAAATACTGACATATAAAAGACTGACAAGGTGGATAAGGACAGAATGGTCCAGAGATGGGACACAGCAACAAGGGGTCACACCTGGAAGTTGAAAACTTAGATACATACTAGTAAATATAGAGGTGTTATTACGTGAACATGTGAACAGAGTTATGTTATGATGTGGCTTAGCTTGGGTTAGTGTACTGGAGACTGGGAAAGTTTTATTGCAGACGTTTAACACATTGAAGAGCAGACAAGACGGCATCAACTTTATCTAATGAGTATCAACGTATATACTACTAAATACACAAAATAACAGAAAAATCCAGTACAAACACATGCAACAAACTTTTTTTCTTCTAAAGAAAAACAATTCCAAAGGCTGAAAGTGAAAAATAGAAATATCCGACATTCCTGGACCAATATTAGTTTGAGAGTGATGAGGGTCTATGACGGACCGAAATGTCGGCCAATGTTTATATTTAGTTCATGGGCAATTTGTATATGGCTTTAACCACGACATTATAACAATCATTATTTTAAATTACATAGATTCTTACTGTGAGGGATGTAAACAGGAGAAGCTTGATCATGATGAACAAGAGATGGAGTCCCTGTGTGCTGTGGTGAGTCCAAGTGTGCTGTTGTTGGTGCAGATGTCTGCTGTACCTACAATAGGTGTTATATTCTGTGGATGCTGGCGCCAAGGAGTTAATATATACCTCGACACTTATCGTTGTGTGAGCGTCACAGCTGTGACAACGGTGCCAGGGCCTCGTTGGTGGTCATTAACCTTACAGACCTACGTATCAAATGTATTTCATATGAAGCCAATTTATGTAAAATTTAACAAAACAACTAATGAAGCCAAGAATTCTATTCGCTTTATTAGGAACACTTATGCACTATTGTTAATCATAGTTATGTAGATATTGCAACAAATTTCTTTAGGCTAAAACTATGCTCTTCAATGTTGATAACTAACTATAAGACCGAAACTAGGACAACTAAAAGGCTGTTCTGTATAAGAAAGATTCTTTATACTTCTGTTATTGACGTCGTTAGGCTTCACGCCATCTGCCATTCTCCCCCCCCCCCATCCCATAATGTGGAGTAACACAAACTTTTAACACAAAAAAATAAAAAAATCTAAGGTACATATTCTACAAAACAAACTTTGATCAAGGACGAAAACATAGTTTACCTCATAGTCTCGTGCATTTCTTACTGCAGACCCAAAATTGTGATAAGTATCTATCTCAATGATTGCAGAATATACTTCACATGTCCTGAAGAAGGATCGCAAAACCCAGACTGTCACTTCAAATGTAATTCTGGAGAAATCTTTGATTACCAAGATGTTTCAGGCCAAATGTAAACCATGTCCTAAACGAAACATGTTGGGAAGATATCTTAAATGACATGGATTCAAACCAGTGCCTTAAAAGGATCAACTTCCTGGCAGCTGAAGCATGTTTTAGGCATATTCCCCTAAGAAAGAAGAAGAGCAGGAGTAAACTGGAGAGAGAAAGACGCTCCCTCTACAGAAGACGACGAAGAGTCACTGAGCTCCTCAGGAGTGCTAGAATATCTGATACACGAAAGGAGGCGCTGACCAGAGAAGTGGAAACTATCGAACTTAAGTTAAATGACTCTTACAGGAACCAGGAGAGACAGGAGGAGCTTAAAGCTATTAGTGAAATTGAAAGAAATTCAAAATATTTCTTTTCATATGCCAAAAACAAGGCAAATACCACATCTAGTATCGGGCCCTTACTCAGACAGGATAGGACTTGCACAGATGACAACAATCGATCTGAGGATCGACGACCCAAATGATTTCTTCATGAATGAGCCTCAAAACTCCATAAATGTATGCCAGATTTCCGACATTACCCTAGCTCCGATAGATTTCGAAAAAGCCATTGACAACATGCCCATGCACTCAGCCCCGGGCCCAGACTCGTGGAACTCTGTTTTTATTAAGAACTGCTAGAAACCCCTCTCGTGTGCCCTAAGTACACTATGGAGGAGGAGCTTGGACATGGGTGAAATTCCAGTCACTTAAAACAACGGATATAGCCCCACTCCATAAAGGTGGCAGCAAAGCATTAGCTAAGAACTACAGACCAATAGCTCTGACGTCCCACATCATAAAAATCTTTGAAAGAGTGCTAAGAAGCAGGATTCCCAGGATTTCCCAAAATCTTCACAATCCAGGGCAACATGGGTTCAGGGCAGGTCGCTCCTGCCTCTCACAACTACTGGATCACTATGATATGGCCTTGGATGCACTGGAAGAAAATCAGAATGCAGATGTAATATACACAGACTTTGCAAAAGCATTTGAGAAATGCGATCATGGCGTAATAGCCCATAAAATACGTGCTAAAGGAATAACTGGGAAAGTGGGGAGATGGATCTTCAACTTCCTAACAAAGCGAACACAAAGAGTAGTGTCAACAGAGTTAAATCGGAGGCTGCCATAGTGAAGAGCTCTGTTCCACAAGGCACAGTACTCGCCCCCGTCTTATTCCTTATCCTCATATCAGACATAGACAGAGATATACATCACAGCACCGTATCATCCTTTGCGGATGATACAAGGATCTGCATGAGGCTGTCATCTGCTGAGGACGCGGTTAACCTCCAAGAAGATATAAACAAAGTTTTCCAGTGGGTAACGGTAAACAATATGATGTTCAATGAGGACCAATTCCAACTACTCCGTTATGGAAAACTGGAGGAGATAATAACTAGAACAGAGTATACTACAGACTCTGGCCATACAATAGAGCAGAAAAATAATGTAAGGGACCTGGGAGTAGTAATGTCCGAGGATCTCACTTTCAAGGATCACAACAGTGCCACGTTCGCACGTGCAAAGAAAATGATAGGATGAATAATGAGAACGTTCAAAACGAGAGATGCCAAGCCAATGATGATCCTTTTCAAATCACTTGTTCTCTCTAGGCTGGAATACTGCTGCACATTAACATCTCCATTCAAGCAGGTGAAATCGCAGATCTAGAGAGTGTACAGAGATCCTTTACTGCACGTATGAGTTCTGTCAAGCACCTTAACTACTGGGAACGCTTGGAAGCACTTGACTTGTACTCGTTGGAACGCAGGAGGGAGAGATACATCATAATCTACACTTGGAAAATCCTGGAAGGAATGGTCCCAAATCTGCGCACAGAAATCACTCTCTACGAAAGTAAAAGACTGGGCAGGCGATGCAAAATGCCCCCAATAAAAAGTAGGGGCGCCATTGGTACACTAAGGGAAAACACCATAAGTGTCCGGGGCCCAAGACTGTTCAACAGCCTCCCATCAAGCATTAGGGGAATTGCCAATAAACCCCTGGCTGCCTTCAAGAGAGAGCTGGACAGATACCTAAAGTCAGTGCCGGATCAGCCGGGCTGTGGCTCGTACGTTGGACTGCGTGCGGACAGCAGTAGCAGCCTAGTTGATCAGGTCCTGATCCATCGGGAGGCCTGGCCATGGACCGGGCAGCGGGGGCGTTGATCCCCAAAATAACCTCCAGGTACTAAACTGCGCTCAGGAAGTTCAACGAATCACGAAATCGTAATGACATGACTGCATACCAACCATACCAAGGGCGGGGATAAAACCCGTGAACAAAGAGTCAAAACTCCAGACAGCCGCGTTGGCCATTGGACCAGCTGGCCCAATTGCTAGCGCATCGGTCTGGAGTTTTATGACTTTCTGATCACGGGTTCTATCCCCACCCGTGCTATGGTAAGTTCAACGAATGTAAGCTGTGATACAACGACTACTGCAAACTCAAGTATAACTGTTGCTGACTACTGCAACATGCTTGCTTGTTGCAGCGAAGACTACTTCCCCAAGTGTCACTCTTCTCACGTGAATTTTTATGAATGTATGAATGTACGGCAGCGCACACAGTAGAGATCCTTCACTAGTGTACAGGAAATGGAGTGTACAACACTGATCCGCTTTTTCTCCTTTACTACGTTCTTCCTGATAACCGTCCTTATCGCCCATTCGCCTGATTCTATCATTACTACCTCTATCAACACCACAGTTACTACTGCCACAATCATACCCCTTCCCTACTGACCTGTTCCAGTCGACACCACCACCATTACTCTCCTAAACCATTCCAGCAAATAATCACCTGATCTGTTCCCAATATCACCGCCACCACTACCACTATTACCACTACCACCAACACCACCACTACTACTACCACCACCACCACCACCACCACCACCACCACCACTACTACTACCATCACCACCACCACTACCACCCTATCTCATTCCAGTCACTACAATCACCATTATGAACTGCCGTCACCAACATTACTCTCATCGACACCTTTTCTTACCAGCACCACCACCTGATCTGTTCTACCACCACCACCACCACCACCACCACCACCACCACCACCATCACCACCACCGCCATTATGAACTGTTTCTACCTCTACTATTACTATCACTACCACCACTAAGAACAATAACAGTATACAATCACCAGAAGCTGCTGCTGCTGGTGATTGTATACTGTTATAAACAGTTATAAGCAGTTGGTTATAAGCAAACATGTGTTTTCTGGGTCATTATAACAGATGTTAAAGTATACTCCATAATTAACTTCATATTATTTATGGGAAAAAGCTAAACCCGATGGGGGTCATACAACGCCTGGGAAACAGGAGGTAAACACACGAAGGGAGGATAGTTTCAGTCTCGTAAATCAAGAGCCTTCACAGCATCAAGGATATACCTTGAACATAAAGGAAATGTTAATATATCAAGGACATAGGGGAAGTTATTAACACACACTGAACAATGTTGAGTAATTTTGATGTTAATATTATTATAATCAAAAGTAAGCGCTAAATTCACAAGGGGATTTTTATATGTTAACATCCGTGTTGTTAACATCCGTATTTTTAACATCCGTGCGGATCATTCAGCGCAGGAGTTTAGCGCTTCATGAATTACACTCAAGACTGATGGGCTGGGCTGTAAGGATGGTGTGTCTGTCTCTTAGCAGCTGGAGGATCGAGCCTCCAACACTCCCTATGTTAAATAACCCACACGGGTTTACCACTTCACGACATATATAAAGCTTATAACTAACAATTTACCAACCAGTTACGTGATTAATACTGAGTTAAGAAACTCGTATAAATAAAGAGGAGATTATTATTATCTTCCCTGAGAAACTCTCAAGATTTAATGACGTATAAACTGAAGTTATTTTAAAAGTTACAAAAATAAACTCAAGTTTACATTGTCTTTTAAAGTTAAATACAACAAAGTTAAAACAATGTTTGTCAACTTTACCAAATAAATGTTTAAACCCTCAATGTGTCTTATTTTTATTGATAATAAACCTGGTGAGAAAATACTCTTATTTATTCAGTTACTATGTTCGTTTACATGGATATCTGAGCACCGGCTTCCAGGTGGTGGTTTTAAACGTCATGATGAACCCTGCCTGACCTGAGCTGCGTCTGTACTGTTAAAACATCTGATGTAGTCAGCAACATGCCACAAGGTGCACAGAGAGGGGCAGGAGCACCCACAAGGTGCACACAGAGGGGCAGGAGCACCCACAAGGTGCATAGAGAGGGGCAGGAGCACCCAGAAGGTGCACACAGAGATGCAGGAGCACCCACAAGGTGCATAGAGAGGGGCAGGAGCACCCAGAAGGT